CCCATAATAATCTTGAATTGGAAGTTTTTAGGGTTTTCAATCCATAGTTGAACATATGAGACGTATTGTATTAGGTTTTGAACTTAAATCAAGAGTTTGGATTCAAATGGAGTGTTTTGATTGAGCATAGAGTATGATTTTCACTTAGAGTACATGCCTTACAATAGATGATGTTTACATGAGAATAGAATTTCCTAGCTAAAAATGCTAGTTGTGACAATACAAGGCATCCTTCCTAGATTCTTAGCCCTAATCTAGCATGTAGTTCTCATACACATACAGTAGGCATACAAGGCATCCTTCCTAGATCCTTAGCCCTAATCTAGCATGCAATTCTCATAATCATATCATATATCATAACATGTATGGGTATCTTGGGGAAAACTTACTTGATCTCGGCCGATTGCACGCATCACACTCCTTGTTCTTTCTCAAAACCCTTAATTTTAAATTGTTAGAAAAATTATTTTTCTTTCCCTTGATTTGAGTCCAGACACCCCCGAAGGTGTGTCCGAATCCCTCAAACCAAGGCTCTGATACCAACTTGTAACGTCCTAAAATTCATGACCAAAAATTTCATTTTTAATTAAGTAATTGTAAAAACCAATGATCTGAAAACACCCATAGTATCACCTCATATCATAATTAAAACCAATATCTCAAGAAACCAAGTCATGTCATAACAATAAAATCAGAGTACACCTCCCAATGATCTCGTGTGTGGAAAACCATAGTGTGATGCGCTGCGATCATGTCGGCTCCTTTCCTTTTGAAGAAGAAGTACTTGAAACCAAAACTGAAAACCATAAGCACGAAGCTTAGTGAGTTCCCCCATCATACCACATAATCACATACTGCTAGGCATATATGGGTGCCCGGCCTACCCTGTCAGGTATATTTGGGGTGCCCGATCTACCCATGTCAAGCATATATGGGTGCTCGACCTACCCTGTCATGCATATCTGGGGTGCCCGACCTACCCATGTCAAGCATATCTGGGTGCTCGACCTACCCTGTCAGGCATATATGGGTGCCCAACCTACCCTCCGGTTTATTTCAACCGGTTACGGGGTCTATCTCACCCCCTACTACTACCATATAATAACATATCATAAGATACTGTCAGGCATATCTGGGTGTCTGACCTACCCTCCAGTTTATCTCAACCGGCTACGAGTTTATTCCACCCCTCCTACCACTACCACATAACACATAGCAGACAGGCACATAAATCTCTACAGATAGTGGCATACCAGACAATTATCACAAAGACAATCATCGTTACTATAAACAACTACTAGTGGGTCGGGCTTGGTGCCTTAGACCCACTGCTACCGGGAAGGTAACTCACCTCGCAAAACTGAATGCAGAATCTCAAGGTAAGGAATCTCTAACGGCTGCTCCGATGACTCCCCGAGCTATCATTACCACAATAACACTTAGTCAAAAACTAATAATCCTTTTTAGGGTAACATGACCAGTTTACCCCTGATCTAATTTGGCCCATGACTAAGGCCCATCAGTATAACATGAAAGGCCTAAATCTAGTTATCCTTCCCAAGCCCACTAGTGGCCCACCAATGGCCCAAATTTATAAATTGGGCCCAACTCCTCAAATGGGCCTTCTCTTAGGCCCAACATATTCTTAACCCAAACTAACTGATTTCTGATGGCCCAAAATAGCAAAGTCCATGAAATGGCCTAAACCGAGGCCCAAATGACGCAAAGCCCAAATCCAGTAAGTACGCGGGGCGTACTCCTCTGTACGCTAAGCGTACAGGCTGCATTGCTTGTACGTTGCGCGTACGGGGTTGTACGCCCGATGTACTACCCTGTTAAGCCATAATCTCCAAAAAGGCTAAATCCCTTAAGACCTCAAGCTCCAAACACAGATCTGAGTCCGATAAAGTGTCCTAACCAATAAAGTCGATTACTTGGTGGCTTGCAAACCTCCAAATGGACCCAAACTTGAAATATGGCAACCTACTTCCATAGAAATGACTAATACTCATGCATGGCGACATTAAGACCTTCAGGATGGCAACTTTTCTGTCCTTGGGACTCATATAGCACTAAGGGTGGTAACCCTAATCCTAGAAACGGATTTGGACCATAAAAATCCATTCGTGGGACCAAAAAGGTCCAAACACCATTACCATAGATCTAATCATACATGAGGCAAGTTGTGAGCTTTTTACCTCAAATGAGTACTAGATGATGATGATATCTCAGATCAAGGAGCTCAAGCTACACAAGTTCTTCTTCACCAACTTCCTATTTCTCCTTCCAAGCTCCAAACCACCAAAATGGACTTCACAAGATCAAAATCACACAAATATGAGGAATGTTAGGCTTCCTAGGGTTTCTGAGTTTGAGAGGCTGGTAAGGAGGTTAGGGTTTGGACATAATGATGTATTTATATGACTTAAACCCTAAAAATTAGGGTTTTGGGTCGGCTCACGTACGCTGCGCGTACGCACATCAACCCCTCGCATCCAATGTTGCATTACGCCCCGTGTACGCCTAGCTTACGCCCCGCGTACGTCTTCAGTCGGCCCACTCACTAACAGACCAACTCAATTAGTCCAATATTACTCTCATAGTCCAATCAATTATTTACAATAAATTAAATAATTTAGCATTACCTCGAATCACAGATGTTACACCCTCTCTGCCTTTTTCGTTGCCAAATGCATCGCCGCCCCCTCCGTTCCCAAATTGACGAGCCAGTTCATCGGAGAAAGAGAAAGAGGAGGTAGGTAGATGTCGATTTTTATAGATTTGTTTGCCGATGAAACTGGTTTGCAGTTGTGGTTCATCATGTTGTAGAGTTGATTAGAGAAGCCATGTGAGGGATATGAATGGTTAGGTTTTCGGCGAGAATTGTGGCCGCCGAAGGTGGTTCCAGTCACCGGTGATGGAGAGTGGGGTTGGTGATGAGGGGGCTTCTCTCCTCCTATAAAGCTGATAGGGGTTTTAGGTTTTTGTTTTAAGTTAAAAACAATAAATTAAATTAATTTATGCATTTAAGCAGTTAAAGAAAATGGAAAATATAAACTATAAGGGCATATTTGTCTTTTTTAATTGTAGAGAGACCAAAATCACTAAAAATATCCAAAATTGGACCATTAATAACCATTAAACATTTTTGGACCAAAATCACATATTTTTGACAACCACAATGATCATTTTTGCAATTTTGTCGAGTCATTACAAAAGAACAATCATGTTGAAGAGAATCAATTGCTTCATTCTGAATTATTGATCCAGAAGTCTAATATGTTTTCACATCTAAAATTAATGCAAGATACTATTAAAAGAGAACGTTGTAACTAGAGAAACAACCAGTTTGAGATATGTTCGTCAGTAAAATTTCAAAAGCATTTAGAAGGAATTATATTTATTTCTTTTAGGAAAAGTTTATAGGTATGTTCGGCAAAAGTTGTTGAAGTTGGTAGTTGTAACTTTTATTTGTATAAGAGGTGTTTGGTACAAGTAGCTTTAGTTTTTTGAAATATGTAAAATTATATAAAAGGCATATGGATGTAAAATAAAATTGGAATATAATGATGATAAATTAATTTTTCTTAGCTATAATTATCAAAAGTTAAAAACCATTCAAATTTTAATATCATGTGCATCGGTTAAGCTTCTCAATTGGTAAATCATTTTTACGTATATTATGATTTTTTTACAAATAAAATAAATAATACTTTTCAATTTTGTACGAACTCATACCAAACATTTTTTTACATATTATAAGTGTTTCGGCTTTCTAAAAGAAATAATATTATTGGATATTATTAAATTTAGTTTATAAATCTATATAGTAAATATTTATTATTTTGTTAGATGAAGATTAATAAATTATAAAATCCATTAATAATGTTGTTTCAAATAAAGACATCATAATTGCTAAACTATATTTATTTGATTTCAAATAAGAAATAATGACATAATAATTGTTAAAATATATATGTAATCATATAAGATATGCATCAAAAGTATTGATATGACTTATTTATTTTAAAAGGTATTTAAGAGGATTTGTTAAAATCTAAAAGAGTTTTTTATTACACACCGGTTGAAGTAACTTATGAATTTGAAGTTTTTTATTTAACCTAAAAATTAAAAGTTCTTGTTGTCGACCGACTTTTTTGGAGTTTTTTTCTTAAAAACGAGATGGTAGAAACTCCAAAGGTTGTGTGTTGAGCATGCCATATAAGTTTAAATTTTTTATTTTAAACAAAAAAATATTTAATCCAAAAGCTATTTTAAATAGCTATTGATAGTTTTTAGGTGCTTTAGGATTTTAGCCTTTATTATTTATGTAATTTTACACATTTGAAAAACTTATAATTACTTTTTCTAAACAATTATACACAAAATAAAAACTATAATTTTCAACTACCATCAACTATTCGTTATTGGTTATCGGTTACCGGCTAAAAGCTACTTGATAGTTTGACAAAACATATCCTTAATCTAAGTAGCATACTTTATTACTTCATATCTAGAATTTATATGAAATACTATCCATGTCATTTTAGCACGGTTTTTTTTTTAGGAATGAATATTACAATCTTTAAAATCTTCTAGTTAGTTGTTACCAAAAAAATAAAAAAAAAATTACACTGCAGCTAGCCAGGACATCCATATAGGAACATATTGGATATTTGTATTTGGTGCCTTGGAGGCACGTGAGTGGGGCGGACCACTTGATACCCGTGACTGACCGCCTCCCGTGCATTAAGTCGACCCGTATAATATTACTTCAAATCTCCACTATTACTATCGGGGCATATTCGTCAACTGAACCAATTGAAAAAGATAATCATTTGAATCATTGACAAGTTTGTCCTGGCATGACTTAGACATCTTCCCAATAAACCAGGAAGAACAATATCAAGGACAAGGTTATTATTGCCAATTCACATGTCCATTGTTCTCTTATATATAGACTAGAAAATAGGTCTGTTTCAATAATTCCATCCAAACTCATGGACTCGACCATCTTTGCATTCTTCTTCATTGCTCTTCTTTCCACCACAAGAGCTTTTGATCCATGCCCATCTTTGAAACCGAAATCGGATGGCTCAGATCTTTCCATCATCCACATCTACGGCAAATGTTCACCATTCAACTCACCTAAACCGGCATCGTCATGGACCACCACAGTCCTCAACATGGCCTCCGAAGACCATCAAAGGCTAACCTACTTATCGAGTCTGGTTGCCACCAAGCCCAAAACTTCGGTGCCAATTGCACCGGGCCAAGTCATAAACATCGGTAATTATGTGGCCCGTGTGAAAATTGGCACACCTGGCCAGCTCATGTTCATGGTGCTGGACACCAGTGCAGACACCGCATGGGTTCCATGCAGTGGCTGTACCGGTTGTTCATCAACTATGTTCTCTCAAAACTCGTCTGCTACTTACGAGGCAGTAGATTGTGCAACTTCTGAGTGTGTCCAAGCCCGTGGGCTTTCATGTCCTACGGCTGAACCCTCTAACTGCTTGTTTAATCAATCGTATGGTGGTGATTCCTCACTTTTAGCTTCGCTATCTCGTGACTTTCTACAATTAGCCAATGATACAATTCCTAGTTATCTTTTCGGGTGCATTGGTGCTGTCTCGGGAAAATCAATCCCTCCGCAAGGGTTATTAGGCTTGGGCCGTGGAGCAATGTCAGTACTTTCCCAGTCTGGATCAATTTACTCCGGTGTGTTCTCATACTGTTTGCCTAGTTTTAGATCATATTATTTCTCCGGGTCACTTAGGCTCGGCCCAAATGGTCAACCCAAAACAATAAAGTTCACCCCACTTTTAAAAAACCCGCATCGACCTTCGTTGTACTATGTGAACCTCACGGGTGTGACCATAGGTCGAGTCAAGGTCCCTATAGCTCCAGAGTTGCTAGGGTTTGACCCAAGCACTGGAGCAGGGACCATCATCGATTCAGGCACAGTTATAACTCGCTTTGTGCCTGCGGCTTATGATGCAATCAAGGAAGCGTTTAGGAACCAAACTCAAGGTCCATTTACCTCATTAGGAGCATTTGACACATGTTTCTCGGTTACACATGAAAATGTAGCCCCTAAGATGACATTTCATTTTAAGGGATTAGATATTGTTCTACCCATGGAGAACACATTGATACATAGTAGTGCAGGGACATTAGCTTGCTTGGCAATGGCATCCGCTCCTGATAATGTCAACTCGGTGTTGAATGTGATTGCTAATTTGCAACAACAGAATTTAAGGATTTTGTTTGATGTTGTAAACTCACGTGTTGGTATTACTCGTGAAATTTGTAACTAGTACCAATTGTTTTTCAAGAGTCATAAGAAGTTAAGAAATAAACCCAAGCTGTACTACGAACAAATTGAATGACAAATAAAAGTTCTTTCAACGAAATTACTCTTTCTTGATGTATGACTACTCGAATTGGGACTTATGCATGCAACTACTGAACTAAGTTAATGCTGTTGTCAAAAATATGTAACAAAACTAAGTTGATTTTTGTTTTCTTATTTTATATAGTCATATTTCATTTGTTACAAAACTTTACCAAGTTATGCACCTATATAGTTGTAAAAATTTCTTTGTATAAACCGACAACAAATTGAAACAATACAATATAAATTAGCTCTAATTTATAGAATAAATTAGTAAAAAAAACCTATAACTTCAATGTCGATGTAAATCACCAACTGTAATATTTTCTTAGGAGACAAAATACATCATTACTTTTATCAAATTATTCTGTGGACTTAATTAAATCGTTGGCAATGAGTCAGTGTTCGAAGAGAATTAAATACGAATAAAGTAAAATTAAGAACAAAATCGTCGCTTTGGCCGAGTGGTTAAGGCGTGTGCCTGCTAAGTACATGGGGTTTCCCCGCGAGAGTTCGAATCTCTCAGGCGACGAATATTTTATTTGTCTAAAAAACATTTTTAATCATCAAAAAATAGAAATCTCATTTTATCGGAATGTAAGCTAAATTTGACTGGAAAACACCGGGATCTTCTATGTTGTTGATCTATCTCTCTAAAAATCATACACTTTTGTTTGGGTTAATTAACCGGACTCGCTTTGCCGTTTCCAAAAAAAAACCTCATAATTAGTTACTAACACTTTTAAATGATGTTCGTATAGTTAATTAACTTATTTTATGTTCACTGAATTGATTTTTTTTAAATAGTCATTACGACCGGCGTCACAAAAAAAAAAAAAAAATGTATAATTTTTTTTGTTAAAGTCATTAAACATTTTCCTTTTGCTATCTAACATCATCTTCCATCCAATTTTATTTTTCTACAGCAAAATTCAACATGGTGTAAATTAATATAGATTGCCAAAAACGCCATTATTAACTTTTCACAAATTTATTTGCAATTTTTTTGTTGTAATAACTTTATAAAATACATTATTATAAATTATAACCAAAGAATTATTTACATATTATTAATTAATATGAATTTAATATATCATATAATAAGGTTAATGTCACTCTTGCCCAATAAATTAATGGGTTATGGTTTAAAAGGTTTCTCATGTTATTTTTTTTGCTTTCTAGAGGCATGAACTCGACTTTTCCGTATTAAAAAAGATCATTATTCATAATGTGAAGGGGTTACCCAGTTGTCCCATGGATTTTCTATTAAGATAATAATTTTTTTAAATTAAAATCTAAAAACAAAAATAAAATTGAAAACATATCTTGAACATTTTCATTTTTAGCCTCGTTCTCAACCGGACCACCATGGATGTTGATGGAGACTTTACTAAATCCTTCTTCTTCAAAACTTTAAATCCAACGAAAGAACATATCTAATAAAAAACTCCAAGGCAAGATTGATGTTATAATCAAATTGAATCGTTAGGTTTAAAAAGAAATTGCTTCTTCTTCGTGCATAAGAAAGGTGTTTGTACCACACGCTCACCAAGTTGTACCTTATTTATGTCCGTCAATGTCATTTGTGTCAAATAAAACACAAGATCGAACTGATTCCAAAAGTTTTTCAGAAAAAACGACTATGGAAGAGTTTAAGCAAGTAAAAAGCACAAGTTTTTGCTAGAGAAGAGTACAAACTTACAACAAATTTTGCTTTACTTTGGTTGGGATATGGAGAACCTCAGACGCATTCTCAAAGGTAGTATTGAGCAGACGCAGTGGGATAATTTATCTTCCTTGTTGCAGGTCTTCAGTTGGAGTCTCGTCTGGATAGATTAGGATGGATTCCTGATGTGTCAGATATTGTTTTAGTTTTAGTTTCTTTAGCCAGATCTTATCTAGAAGATGATATGTTGTTCTCGGGAGGTATAGAGACTCGGTGGAATAATTAGGTTCCCATCAAACTCAATATTCTTATTTGGAGAATTCGAATTCAATGTATCCCCACCAGAGAGTGACTGTCTCATAGAGGTATCATGGTAATTCGAATTCAATGTATCCCCACTAGAGAGAGACATTAAGGGTCTCCTCCCTTAATGTCAATTCGGTGGATCATCTCTTTGCTACATGTAACGAGTTGGTAGATATTTGGACGCATATTGCTATTTGGTGGGATATCCAGACTCCAGTTCAGAAGTTAGTGAATTCTTTCATTTCTTGTCCAAACTCAACTCACCTCAGGGATGGCCAATGGAAGGTTTTAGAAGCGGCGATTTTTACTACATTTTGGTATTTGTAGAATTTTTGCAATTCCAACGTCTTCGACACAGTTATTCCTAGAAAATCTAATATTTTTGATGAAATTGTTCATAGGACTTTCTTATGGATTTCAAATAGGTGTAGCAAAATAAAGTTAGGATGGTCTAATTGGCTTCATAATCCTACTTCTACTACTTTTTTGATGTAATTGTTCTTTCTAGCTCCTTGCTAGTTTTTAATAAAATCTCCGCCATTAAAAAATGCTTTACTTTGAAGGTTTTGATGGGTTTTCAGTTCTAAGAATTGAAGAAAGTGAAAGATTGAGAAGAGAATCAAAACTATCGATTTCTGAAGGGACATCGGCGTTCCCATTTTACCAAAGTGGTCGCATCTGTGTTCCAATCTCTTTGAAACTTGACCTAATGTATGATCGGTGCAAAATTAAAATCAGAGAACATTCTAACACAGTGCGTGTTCCACCATTGTTCGGTATAATATTGCTTCTTTTTTGTTCAGAAAACAATATTTCCCTTTGAGTTAAACACGACACCTCCAGTGGATTACGTCCCCTGTAATTCTCTTGATCGGAATCGATGAGAACTGAAGAGGTGCAACTTTTGAAAACCTTGATTGGAATCGATAAGAACTAAAGAGGTGCAACCTATTCGGAACAACAGAAGAAAAAACATAGAAGCCATGATCCTTTTTAGCATCATCCATAGAAAAGAGAATTGAAAGGAGATGTGTGTGTGTGTGTGTGCGAGAGAGGAAGATAATGCTTTGGCTCGTGTGAAACTATGAGTTTGGATTTTCTCTCGTTAATTTCTTTTTGTCTTACTAAAGAAAAGCCATGTTATCCATGGGCACGATGTATTATAAGTTGTACGTCCTTTTTTAACCAATAAAAATGAAGTTTATACCTTTAGAAAACCAAAAATAACATAAAGCACCTTTTAAACCAAAATTGATTCATTCACAGGGCTATAATGACATTAACCATAATATAATATTATAATTAAAAATTATTACATTTATAATCTACCTAGCCATCTCTTTATAAACTAGCAAATGTTATGATATACTATTCATTTACATCAAAATTGTGCAAGAAACAAAGAGGGGTTGGAGATAAATTTGCACCAACTTGGTGTAAAAATGAGATATCGACTACGGTTCAAGATGTCATAAGCTCACTAAATCTTTTTTAGCTATCTAAAGTCTCTTACATGTTTTTATTTTCACAATTCGTTTTTACAGTTTTATTCTATTAATTCGTTTATACAAGTTTTTCATTGATTTATTTTTACAATTTCATATATTTACTAAGTTTTTAAAGTTTTCCATAATCAATTTTCACAAAATTTTTAATTTTGTTTCTGTATGTTATTTCTACAATTCGTTTTTACAACTTAATTTAAGGACTCGCATCACTACACTATGTTGCCATATTCTGGGTTTCCAGCTCAAAAGTGTATCTGCTAAGCAAATATGATCTTGTTTTATAGGCAAATTAAAATCAATAAAAAGTTATAGAATAACTAAACTCTCTCTCTCTCTTTATATATATATATATATATATATATATATATATATATATATATATATATATATATATATATATATATATATAGAGAGAGAGAGAGAGAGAGAGAGAGGAGGAGGGAAGGCTCCATTGAGATCACTAATGTAACATCCCAATGTTAAGGTACTTCTAAATTTCAACCCTTTAAATTATTTATATTGTATTTGGTCCCAAGTTCAAGAAATATATGCATGAAGGGCCTTAATGGCATCTTGGTAAAATGAAGCTTCGGAGTACGCCATGCGTATGTGTTGTACGGTGAGCTTACTAGCACGCGCCCTAGTACGCTGGGCGTACATCATTGTACGCGGGGCGTACTAGCTAAATAAGGAAACCCTAATTTTTAGGGTTTGGCTGGTATTTAAGCATCCTTATGGCCTCATTTCCCTTCATCTTACCTGCCACCACCCTCTTATTCGTGTTTGCAACCCTAATACCCCCTTGAGGAGCTATTTCTAAGCTTGTGTGTGTGTTTTAGTGCTTTAGAAGAAGAAGAAAGGAAAAGAGGACCACCTTGAAGGAGTGAAGCTCTCTAGATCCAGAATCACACCACCTTTTGGCACCATTTTGAGGTATCAAGTTTTGAACTTGGTGTTGTTTCTTGTAGATCTTGTTTTGGGTTAGTTTTAGGATCTTTTTTTCCCAAATGTTGTGTTTCTTGAACAAAGCATGTTCTTGTCAATTTGAGTTGTCCTTTCAGACCCTAGGAGGGGTCCTAAGTCATAAAAATGAAGTCCCATTGGTTAGTTTTGCTCCATGCATCTTATAGAAGGTCTTAATGGATTAAGACCTTGAGTTAAGCTCTTATTAGGCATGTAAAGTCATAATGTTGGAAACTTTATGACTCTAGAGTGTATTTTGGACATGGATCTAAAGTTGGTACGTAAGAGCTTAAGCTATTAAGCTCTTAATGAAGTTTTTGAGCTTGCGAGGGTATGCCCCACGTACTCGGTCAACCACCCCGATGGTGGTTAACTACGGGGGTTGGAGTACATCCAGCATACCTCCGGAGTACGCCCCGCGTACTCGCACTAGGTCAGCTCGGTTGGGTTGACTCGGCTGGGTTGACTCGGCTGACTTAG